TATCAAAATATTCCATAAAGCCAGTATTAGTCTTGTACCAAAACATGTAAAAAATCTAACCATAAATAAATAGATAAATATACAGATAGATGAACTACAGACCAATTTCCTTAATAAACTTTGATGGAAAAATCATTAGCAGGATACTCATAAACAAATATAACAAATATTGAACAGATGACAAATGCAAATTAATGTTAGGGATACAAAGATGGTATGAAATATTTAAATCAACAGATACAATATATCATATAAGTAGAAGTAGGAAAACAATCATACAGTCATCTCAGTAAATGCACAAAAGGACTTCGACAAAATTTAATATCTTTTCATGATGAGAAAATAATGATAAACTATGTATTGAAGACCTTTCCTCCCACTGACATACCCACAGCCCTCATCATACTAAATCAAGGAAAACATTTCCCTAAAATCATGAACAAGATGTGAGTGTTCACTGTTACCATTGTTGTTTAATGTATTACTCAAAACATTAACCAGAGCAATCAGTCACAAAAATAAATAAAAGGAATTCAAATACAAATGGGAAAAATCAAATTATTTTTGTTTGCAGATGATATTATTCTTTGTATAGACAATACATAAAACTCCACCACAAGGCTCTTGAAGGCAATAAAAAGCTTTAGCAAAGTGACAGGATTAAAAATCAACATACAAAATCTCAATATCACTCTTTTAAACCAAGAATGAACCCACTAAGTAAACAATCTAATCATGGTAGGTCAAAAAGAACTTGAAGTACCTAAGAATAAATTTAACCAAGAAGATGAAAGACCACTATCATGAAAAAATACAGAAATGTAAAGAAAGAGGTTGAAAATCACACTACAAAATGGAAAGATGTACTTTGTTCCTTTTAGGCAAGAGAAACATTGTCAAAATGGCACATTAAAAATAATAGAAAGGTTTAATACAATTCCAAACAAAAAACCAACAGCATCCATCACAGAACTAGAAGAAGCAATCTTACAATTTATATGGAACCAGAAGATAGCCAGAATAGCAGTTCTGAGCAGAAACAGCAAAGCAGGAAATATTACAACCCTAGTATTCAAATTATGCTACAAAACTACGATTAAAAAAAAGCTTGGCACTCACAAAAAAGTAGACACATAAACATTAGCATAAAAAACAGAGAAACATTCCTGTTTACTTTTAATTATCTGATCTTTGAAAAGGGGAAGCCCACAGGCCATAAGGTAGCATCGTTAACCTCCAGTGCTGGCAAAGCTGGTTAACTGTTCACTAATGAATGAACCTAGATGCACATGTCTCACCATAACCTAAAATCAGACTGACATAGATCACAGTCCTAGACATAAAAACAGAAATACTAAATATGCTGGGGGAAAAGTAAGTAAAACATTTGAAAACATAGGTGTAGGCAAGTTTTTCTGAACCAAGCCCCAGTTGTGTATGAAGTAAAACCAAGAATCCATTGGGATTTTTATCAAATTAAGAAGCTTCCTCACAGCAAAGGAGACAATCTGATAAATGATAAGAAAGCTCACAATGGAAGAAAAAAGTAGCTGCTCTTCTGATAGAGGACTAATATCTATATAAAAAAAAAAAAAAACCTCAAAAACTTCACCCCCCCCCAAACAAAAGACCTAGTCAAAATTTGCAATTGTAATGAACAGACACTCCTCAAAAGAAGTATAAGTGGCAGCATGGCAGGCAATGGTGGCCCAGGATGGGAGCCACGGGCATTTACTGGGACCTGCACCATGCAGGGACCTGGAGCATGGGGAAACCAGGCAAACCCTCCCCCCTGCCTGTTTTGTTTTGTTGAACTTCAATATACGTGAAAGTGTAGACAGTTATTTTGATGACAAGTCATGGGTGACTTCCCTATTGTCTGGTTTTGAAGACCTAAATCACCTTCCTCATTTTTTTCAGATCAGTTTTATACCATGTTGTTTTGTATGAATTCTTTGTATGGACGACGATTTGGAAGAAAACATGAAACAATATGATAGATAGCGAAGATCTCAAGTTGTCTAGCTTTGAAATTTATATCTCTTACATTGCTTTCTTATATTCTATTTTGTTTGGTTTTGTTGTGTTTAATCTTACCCCCTTTGTTTGAAGTACAAATGACCAATGGATGTGTGAAAATTACCCAACAGGTTTGTCTACTAGGGGCATGAAAATCAAAACAAGTAAGAATTCTGTCACTTCAGTAAGATTAGCTATGATCAATCATTTAAAGAATAACACATGCTAGTGAGGATGTAGGAAATAAAGAATTGTTTTACACTGGTGATGAGAATGAAAATTAATACAACTACTATGGAAATCTGTATCAAGACACTTCAAAAAGCGAAAAGATAAAACTCTATTTGATCCAGTTACACCTTTCTGGGTATATTCTTAAAACAAAACAAAAACTAGTTAGACATCTTGTCCTAGTGAAGCATGCATGCAAACATACATCTTTACAGCCGTGCAATTAGAGTAGATGAAGTAGAATAAATTGCCTAGATGCCCATCAACCATTGAATGTATGGTAACATAGACCACGGGGTACTACTAAACCAAAAGGATGCTATATCTGTGTCATTTCTAGTAAATTGCATGGATCTTGAGACTATAAGTTAAGGGAAATATACCAGACACAGTAGTTAAGTATTGGATGATTTCTCTTATATTTTAAATGCAAAATACAAATATTTTAAAGAAGAACAAAATGCAGAGATGGTGGGAAGTAGGGAGGTAGATGTTTTAGAGACAGGGAAAGGTATCTGGGGAAGAAGGAAGTTGGGGTGGAAAGGGCTCAAAAGTGATCAGGATATTATGTATTGTATTCATATATATACACTAATTTTCTAAAGCTAATGTAATTATCATATGTCACAAATATATCCTAATCTAAAAATCAGTAACGTTGAAAGTAGAACAGACAGAATACAGGCTGAGATTGGAAAGCCCTGAGAAGTAAATATGTGGAAAGAATAAGATGTACATTAAACACGGTTAAAATATTTATGTTAGTATGTTTTAGGAGAGTCAAAGTAACCAAATTTCACATTTTTAATTCCTTATCTGCAAAAAAGATAGGAGGAGATAGTTGACAAATTAACTAGTTGCTTATATAATTGAAAATAAATCCTCTTGAGAATTATTATTATGATATTGCTTCTTTGGAAAACATTTTCATTGATCGAAAAGACAACAGCAGACAAAATCTGCAAATATCTATTTTTCTGTATTGTGCATTGAAGAGAACAGTCTGTTGTATAATAGGGCCAAGAGACAAGCTTTCCTGTCTTTATATGATTTACTGGAATCTCTAGTAATTGGTTATAACTTGTAGAAGTAAATATTTTAAAACCTATTTCAATAGATACTTAATGCATCTGAGTTAGAATTTTTGTGCCTTATTTTTACCTAAGCTCAGGGAAAATGGTAAGCTGATTATAGATTTGTACTTCAATTAAACTAATTGTCACAGTAATCATGACTTCATTTATTTAACACGTTTGTTAAAGTCCCGCTGTTTATTTGACAAGGTTTTAGGCACCAAGACCCTAGTGGGCACAAGACAGTTTCCTCACTTGTGGATATTTTATTCCAATGTTGCTAAAAATAAACATGCAAGTGGATGTTTATTTAGTAATTAGTAATCAATGCTGGATAGTTAGTGCTCTGATAAAGAATAATTCAAATGGAGAAAAAGAACACAGCCCAGGTGGTAATATTGGAGAAGTGGTGGTAGAGAATGCATGGAGATGACCAGGAAATCCAGATTACATCCTTGTTATGTGATGATCTAGAATATGCCAAGCAATTTCAGTTTTGTTCTGGATGATTTTTCTTAATAATTAGGAATAATTAGAAAATAAGCATTTCTAGACTTGGTTGGAATATAGTATCTAACAGTCAGTTGATAAATAATGAGTTCTAACTCTATAGAAAACCCAAACCATGGCATGATCATGTATAGATCATGAAAAGACATGGTTTGAGTGATATTTTGTAAAAAATTTCCTCTGTTCTCAACTAGGAGGTGGGCGATAGGGGAGAGGGGACTTATCCATTTAGTCAAGTAATCAAGCTGTATGGGGAGAATGGCGTGACTAGAGGTCCAGTGTGTAGGGAGGAGATATGGAGGAAGCTTGATCTATAGGTATGAAGTCACAGTTGGATATCAGTGACAAGTTTTGGTGTGATGTTACATGACAAGATGAAGACAGACAACAATAGCATACCATACATTTCAAAAAGCTGGAGGATAGAATTTTCAATGTTTGCAGCATAAAGAAATAATAGCCCTTTGGAGAAATAGGTATGTTTAGTCATTTAAATATTATACAACCTGTGCAAATGTCTTTAATCAGTGTATTCCCCCCATTAATATGTATACTTTTATGTTTAATGTAGATACACAGGAAGTAACACTGCAATCACATGTGAGATTAAAAAGTACACTTAACAAATATATTTTTATAAGGGGTGAAGCATACCAGTTACATTAATTTATAGGCTAATTATATATTACATGAAGCACATGTAAGAAACATGAAAAAAGATCAATGAAAGATATCTCTGAGATTCTTGCTTTTGGTACAATGACAATGTTGAGAAGGGAATAAATGAGAAAGGACCAGTTAAAGACAATCATCATATGCTAGTGTCTATGTAGATTCACACAGCAAATTTGTAATGATTGACAAGAGACCAGGGAGAGGCAAGTGTGACACTCATTTAAAATTTAAGGAGTCACAAAGTACATTAATTGAGGTAAACAATATTTTAGTCTAGTAATCTAAAATATTTTTAAAATATTTTAATGCAACAGTCATCAAAAAAATGTTAACAATTTAAGCAAACACAGAATCCCTAACAGTGCTATATAGCTGTACCAAAGCCAAAAAATATTGTAATTGACATTTTAAGAAATAGTACACTGAAACACTTGATATTTTAATTTTTAAATATCAAATAAGTGCTATTTAATATTGATTGCATCAGCCTACCCTCAAAGCTGCTGGTCATGCAGGAGGGAAATTGCGCCCTGGAAGTGGCTGTACAATTCCACGGTGCCTATGGTGGTCCATTGTGCACACTAAAACCTGCGTGAAACAAAAGAGGCGTTAACATACGCCCAGTTCAGCTTTCCCAGTGCTAGACACAGCATTTGACAACCAAAGCCTGAGGAGGAGGGGTTTAATTTCTGAGGTTTCAAAGATGTCAGAGGTTTCAGTTTACTGGGGCTGGCTCTGAGGTAGAAAGACCAGGGCAGAAGGCCACGGTGAAACAAAATTGCTTAATTTATAGCAGCTGGAGGCAGCGCACTAGAAGCGTCCCACAGAGGGAGAAGCCAGTGACCACATACAGTCCCAAGGCCACAGACACACGCAGAAGGGTGCCTTACTGACTTCCTAGGCGGCTGGCAATCCAAACAGGTTAGCAACACAGCTTCACAATGTGTGTACCTTTTGGCATAGGAACTATAACTTGAAGAAATCATAAATTAAAACAGAGTGTGCACAAGTGTGTGTGTGTGTGTGTGTGTGTGTGTGTGTGTGTGTGTGTGCGCGCGCGTGTAGAAGAAAGAGAATTGGAAGGAAAGAGTGAGAGAGAGAAAATTAGTAATTGAATAGAAGTCTATGTCTTATTTATTGGTCTCTGACTCAAGCAGTGTTTCCTACATTTTGCATATATTTAATCTGCACATACATAACACTGTGAGATGGATACTTTCATCTTCGCAGATGAAGAGATGAAGCTAGGATGGAAGCTAAGTCCTTTGATCAAGGTATCGAAATTGATCCGTGGCAGAAGTGATATAAACGCCTGTGTCTACAGTCTCTACTCCCATCTACCAAAGTGCTTTGATGTGTTTGTAACATTCTTTAAGAAACCAAAGAGAAAGTCACTCCAAATAGCAATTAAACATTTTATGTCAATGTGGCATCTATATATGGGAACTAGGAACTACTTAACCATCAATAATTTTCTGATTTTAAATATAAAGCAAAATTATTTATATTGTGAATAATGTTTCAAAAATTGTTTCATAATGTAGCTAGACAAGCTTAATCTTTCAAAAATGTGTATGCAAGCCATATGGAAACTCTGGGGCTTAATAATCATGAGCATAAGGAGAAAAACTGGCATACTTGATATGTCAGAAATAGTATATGATTTTATAAAATAGAAGTACAAAACCAGTGACTTCAATTTATAAGACATATCAAGTGAAATCAAAGAAAGAAAATTTGTGGAAAACTCAGAACCTACTTATAACAGTCATATAAAAGTAAAATGAATAAATGCATGAATTCTACTGAGCAATATAAAATAACATTGAAATATTTGGGATGCTTATTAAGCCTCACACAGTGCTCTTTTATATTACAAGGTCAAGTTTCTTTTTATTTTAATGTACCACATTGATATCACAAGTCTGCATTTGGAAAATACAGGAAAGATATGTTATAATTTAATTTGGAATAAAAATTACAAATATAGGTTTTAAAAAGTCTAGAAAACATAAAATTTTCATAGAAAAAAGCTCAAATTAAATTTCCTTATTTTGAAAATTTTTAAATTTCAAAATAGTACATAAAGTGAGTGTATGCAAATTTTTGTGGCAGACTTTTTTTTATTAGGCACTTCCCCTTGAAGACTCAACCAGGTTGTTGTTTGTATCAATAATTCTCTCTTACTGATGAGTGCTGTACTGGCTAGCATGCCCACTGGGACTCAATACTTGACATGCAAACTTAAAGAGGAGGGGTTCATTCTGATTTATTCTTTCAGAGGGTTCAGTCCATGGCTCCACGGCAAGTGGGTATCATGGAGTGAAGCAGCTCACTTCTTGGTGTCAGGGAAACAGAGCAAATGATGATGTTCAGAGACCAAGGACCAGATATGGTTTTCAAGGTCACACCTCTGTCACTCAGTCAGACACATCAAAAGTGTGATTTACTAATAATGCCCTATGTGGCTCTCAAGCTAGTTAAGATTAGCTGTCCTAGTGATGTTATGAGTAAAATTACTGTAAACATATGTGTATAGTTTACAAGTTTTGTTTCTTTGAGATAAATGCCCAGGGTCACAGTTGGTAATCACGTAGTATCTGTGTCTCACAAAGTTCTTTGTATCTATACCGGCATCTTCTAAACCCAGAGCAGCAAACTGGTTGATAGAGGTTATGGAAATGAGGGAGTTGAAAAATAAGTATGGGAATAAAAGGGTCATATAAAGGAAGGAATTCTTCTAGTGATGGAAGTGTTTTGGGTCTTAATAGTGCTGATAGATAAACAAGCATATTATGATAAGATTTTATGGAACTCAACGCCAGGGCCTTTAAGGACTAGAGGAAAAAAATTGAGGAGATCATATAAGGTTTGTGGATTGTGTGTTATTTCTATATTCTAATTCAAATAATTGTAGTTTGGCAAAGTGTTGTCATTAGCAAGCAGGATGGAAGAACTGTGAAGTGTTTCTGTATTATTTCTTACAACTGCATATGAATCTAAAATTGCTTCAAACACTTTTATTTTAAAAACACACTACAAAGTTGCTTTTATTATAGAGGCATGATATTATGGCAAGAGTAGATATAGAACAGAAGGATAGAATACAGAATCTGAATTTAGTATATGATAAAAGTATTTCAAATAATTGAATTTTCAGTTTTTAAATTATTCACTTGAGAATAACCAGTCTTCAAAATAAAGTCGTATCTCAACATTATACATTAAAATTTATTATGTATAATTAATTCTTATGTTTATCATGTATTTATTTATTAAAGCTATATCATAAATATCAAAGACTAAAATATGCTAAGAAGTTCTTTTAATTTTAAGGAGGGAAATGATTTTCATAGTTCTACATTAATGTCAACATTTTTGGTTTATTTATCTTACAATAAATTTAAATCTATGTTGGCAAAGACTCACTACTGCAACATTCTTCTTGGTAGACTTTTGGGTCTCTATATTTATTGCTACATTATTCAGAAAAGATCTGAGGTAGAAATTATGCAAATCTCTTCTCAAAAACCTTGGAAGCCCAAGTCAACTAAGTGACATTTTTAAAGTGCAAGAAAACATAGCAAGACAAAAAACCCCACAAAAATTGTGAATCTAGAATTCTATGATCAGAAAGTGTTCATAAAGATGAAAGAAAAACAAAGCTTTTCAAAGAAACAAAAAATAGTATCTTCAGCTGAATACTATATAAGAAACTTTTAAGTTCTTTTGGCAAAAGTGATGATACCAGAGAGAACTGTAGTATACATAAGGAAATAAAAAATCTCTGGAACTAGTAAAAATTAGGCAGTTATAACAGATTTATTTACTATCTTTAATAACTTTGAAGCAGAATTTTATATCTAAAGTGATAATACTGAAGTATTCTGCATCTATAGCATACATAAAATAAAATGTATGATCATAATAAAAAATGGATCAGAGGGAATCATAGATATATTACCTTAGGAGAACAAGTAATACATCTTCTTATCCTGAAATGATACAATATTCAGTGATTATTTCTAATGTGAATTGATCTAGATTGATCAAAATTGATTCATTCACAAATTTAAGATAAAATAGAGGGAACTAAGATATTCAGCACTATAATATCAGTACATCTACTTTACTGGGAAACTGAGAATATTATTCTCTCACCATGAAGCTGCTATCATTTATTTTTGCAATAACAAATTAATGTTATCAGTTCTCTGTTGTTGGTAAAGTACAGCCCTTGTCAAAAATTACAGTAAATTATAAGTGGGAAAAATTTAAACGTAGATTATGATAAGAGTATCAAATTCTAGATCTGTTATTTCCCATGGATTTGTAGTGATTTTACAAATTTCTACAGTTTTATCATGAAGGTAAAGAGAAAAATCTGCTACAAAATATAGTAAAATAATCTCCAAAAAATTAACACAGTTTGTATCTGAAATAATATCACAAGAGAAACAGAAATTGAAGAGCGGAAGCCAGAAAATTTGAGAAAGACATAGAGTAATTATGCTGAGTTCTACATTTTGTTAAAATGACTTTTCAATACTATTAGTTAAAGACACATTAACTTTGGGACCAAGGTGAAATAATTAGCATGAGCGGCTACATCCCGACATGCCTATCTGTTAGCATGTCATTAAATGAACAAATGAATCTTCGGTAATTGATCAAGTCAGCACTGCTCTTTGACAGTGATGCTCAGAGTAGATGACTGTCCTGTGTGAGCCACAGTTTGACACAGTGGAAAATCACTCACATTGTCTTTGTTATTGTTTATACACTATTAATTATGGATGTTCAAGTTAACTTTTTCTTTTTGTAAATATTGTACTATGCACTATTTATCATAATTACTGTTTCTCAGAATCTTAAGTTTTGCGTTAATGACGTCTTCAGTGCTGTACACTATTTTTAACCATCAACAATCATCAACACAATATTTCTATTACTGAAATCTTTGTTCTTTGTAGTGTTCTAATTATAAAGCACAACAAAATGCCAGTACATGAAGGCAATCCAAATGATATCTACTGACAGTATGAACCTTCACATACTGGAGTCATAAGAGTTTAAAGTCATTTGAGATACGAGTTTTGTTTTATTATGCAACATTAAAACGTTTCTTCTCATGAATAACTTAGGGGAAAAGGCCAATTAGCAGCTCAGTGTTATGCATTTCTTTCTCTCCAAATAACAAAGAACATTGGGTGAAAATGAGACAGACTAAAAATTTTAATTCCCTACCCCCTAGTACAGTGCCTCTGGCATATAGAAATTGGAACCCAGCCAGTCCAGTACATTCTCATTGTTCAAGGCTCATTGTGAAAAGAATCCGTCAACCACATGGAATACAGCCTCAGCCAAATGAGCATTACACGAGTAAAAAGCAGCCCATGTTTAGGGAGCCAAAATTCTTTCATAGTCCCGTAACTGAATCTTTTATGAAATGTGTCTTTGTCTATTTCATAACAGAGTGTGATAACACTTATTTGTCTTCCTTTAGAAAGTGCTTGATTCATCTTTCTATCATTAACAGCACTGCAATTAAGACATAGATTTTCAATAAATATTGAAAATTAATCCATAAAAGAGTGTCTCCT